ATATTTACATCGTCATTCTAATAAAGGTTTTGTATAGTTGAGAAAGTAGGCATATAGGTCAGTGTTTATTTATGTCCTCTTGATTACCTTTTTTAAAAGCAGGAATACTATTATTTTTTCCACCATATATTTGGTTTTCTTATTTCGCTATTTCAGATACTTTGAGGCTGCTATGTGTACTTGGTCTGGTCAAGCTTCTCCTCCTGCATTGTTTTTCATTAGAGTAGCTCCCATATTTTCATGGAGGACATCAGGAATTGAGATGTTGAGTCTAAATGTGGGAGTTTCACTGTCATTGATAAAGTAAATGAATTATTGGTGCCATTCTCAGCTCTTCATCTCATATATCCAATTATTTGTCAAGTCTTATTTCTATTTCCATGTTCTTGCTCCTATACATCACCTCTTTTTTATTCACAGAACCACCACTCTAGTTAAGAGCCCTGTTATCTCTTGCAAGTCTTTTTGTAGTAGCCTCCTAATGAGTCTCTTCCTGCTTCAAGTCTCACCACTTTAATCTCTTCTCAACATAGTTGCCAAAGTGGTTTTCCTTAAGTGTAGGTCTTAACATCCCTCTACTCAATAAATTCCAGTGGATATCACTGCTAGGATCAGATATGAACTTCAAACTTTGGCATTTAAAAGCTCTTCACAACTTGACTCAAACCCAGCTTTCCAGCCTTATTGCTCACGCTTAATGGTACAGCTATACTGACCTCCTTGCAATGGCCTACTCACACAATGTCCAATATTTCATCTCTGTACCTTTGCACTGGCTGTTCTCTATGCCTGGAATGTACTCCCTCTTCCTTTTCACGTATTGGAATCCCTGGTTTCCTTCTAGACTCAGCTTAAGTGCTTTTTTCTGCCTAAGGTCTTTCCTGGTCTCCCCAGCTGCAAGTGCTCCATTTTGTTTTTTGTTCTGCATATACCTATATGTCTGCATGTGATCTCTCCTTATAGATTGTAAGCTTCTTGAGGGCAGACTATTTTCCTTTTGTCTTTATATCTGTAAAGTTTAGCCCTGTGCCTGGCACATAATAGGAGCTTAATTAAAAATTTCTGGCCACCTTCCTGTCATACTGTTTCCACTTCTCTCTACTTGGTCATCATCATCTAGCCTTTTCTCATCAGAAAATTGGAACCTGTCCCTGGAACCATGCTGAGCCTTGATAGGCTGGCTTTGGTTTTATGTTACCTGAATCTCGACCTCCACAGCACTTGCTGGACATCTCCACCTCATGCTATCTCTTTTCTTCTCTACTTGGACCATGATTTCTACTCGCTCCTTACCAGAAAATTGCACTCTGCCCTTAGAACACTGCCTTTGCCCCTTTCTAGTTCCCTTTTGTGTGTTGTCGTTCTCTGTTAGAATGTAACCTTTTTGAGTGCAGGGAGTATCTTGCTTGCTCACATTTATGTACTCAGCACTTATCGCAGGACCTGGCACACAGTGAACACTTAACTCTGTTGTTCCATCTAATAAACTTGTTGATTTATTCACAGATGTTTTCCATTTCCCCTCTGTTTGTTGTCCTCCTTCCAGTTTTATCTTTAAATACTCTTGTGGTGATCTGGCTTAATTAGGCTTTACACCAGGCTTCCTGCTAACATTTTATCCTCCACTGCTTCTTATTTTATGAGTTGATACTGCTCATATTTTCCACCATCCTCCTGAGTAAGGTTTTGTAAATGAGTCTCTTAGACATAAGTGGTAAAATCGGGGGAGTGGGGTATATATAATCACAAAAGTGTTGTTTTCAAGCATGAGCATGTCTGCTTCAACGCAGTTCCTTTCAGGATACAAATGACCTCTCTTTCTTTGGCTCCCCCAAATGAAAGAAGCATAAAGGCACCTTCAAGTGATTGGGGTGTTAGGAGCCCTGGTATGTTACAGTGAATAAACAGAATAATCTTGCTAGAACCTGGAGTGGAAGAATCTTTCCAGCTGTTTTTTTATCTTCTCTTTTATTTACTAAGGCTATTGATTTAAGATTGTAGTAGAAATTGCAGATTAGTATTGGTGATGCTGAATTTTGGCATTGGAGCTTTTGATGTACATTTTCAGAGTTCATGTCACTAAACCAATTTGCATCTGAGAAAATGCCAAATAGCAGGGGTAGGGTGGGGTAGGGAGAGCATGAGGTAGAAGACAGGTTTTTCCTACATCCAAGCTGACATAGAAGTAGAAAAGGGGACTGTTGCAGAGAATGTGCCTTTATTTTTCTTCTTCGATGTCTGAGAGTTCTATTGTGAATTTGGCACAATGAGCCTAAAATGATCATAATACACATATGATATGAATGGGATAAAAGAAAAATAAGAAAGTGTTATATGACCAGTTTTTAAAAGACATCTTCCCATTTAATCTTATGTATTCATTTTTTTTTTCAGTTGATAATAAGGATGAATAATTATGGGAAATATAAATGGGAATGGAAGTAAAAGTTCTGTGAAGTTTAAATTTATGGCACTGGTTAATATGAATAGTATATTACTATTAGATGTGTCCAATATTCAAAGTGAAAAAGCCTTATTCTATTTGTGTCAACCTTCTCAGCACTCTCAGGGCTAAAGTATCATCTCAGTGGTTACTTGGTTTTACTGTACTTAGTTATCTTGGTAGGAGTTGGATTATTTGAGGAAGTAGTAATTTAATAATAATAATAGCTAGCACTTTATGATTTGCAAAGTGCTTTACAAATATCTAATTTTATCCTCAAAACAACCTTGGGAGATAGTTGCCATTATTTTCCCCATTTTATAGATAAAGAAACTGAAGTAGAAAGAGGTTAAATGACTCGCCTAGGGTCAAACAGCTAGTCAGTGTCTAAAGCAGGATTTGAATTCAGGTGTTTTTGACAACAGGTCTAGTGCTCTAGTCACTTCACCACCTAGCTTTCTTTTTAGATAGGAAGAAGAGGACTTGAGAAGAGTGTGAAGATGAAAATAGAAGATAGGCAGTCAGTCCTGGCTTGTATTTTGGACAGATTGGAACTATTCCTTGAGAGGTAGTAGTTAAATTTAGAGTCTGGTCTAAATACAGTCCAGCTCTGTTTAGATTGCTCAGGCCCTGGAGATACCCACAGCCTCAGACATGTGATGAGGTGGTTTAGCTTGTTTTTTGCCTAGATATCTTCATTTTCCTTACTGTTCCTTTCCCTGTTGCTGTGTTAGGGAGCTATTTAGAAGATGTGGTGAATAGACAACTTACTTAGGAGTGACCATAGCATTGCAACTGATTGCTGCTTAGGTCAGGAATATATTTCTCCAGGAGGGCTCATCAGTGAAGGCATCCTGGAAAAACCTTGGGAAAGACTCTAGTCAGGACAGATTGAGTGTCTGCCTGCTCAGAAGTGTAAGCCATACGGAGTACATAGCACCTGTGCCACACAGTCTGTACTGGCTACCCACTGTTTCCAAAACAGTGATTTTTGTACTTTAGGTGCCTTGCACATTTAGTATGCTAATGTCTGATTATTTTGACAATAAAAAGAACAGCAGACAGTTGACTCTGGAATTTCTAAGTGAACCCCCTGTGGCCTGGGGATATGATATCGAGGCCTTTGAGTTATCCTCTTTAAAAAGGAAACAACACCCAACTGTTTGTTTCTACCCCAGATCTGGCGAAGATGCCGCCAGTGCAGTAGGGAAATCCGTTTTGTCTCAGGCCTTCACTGGACCTAGATCATTCTATCTTTTTAGCAACCTGCATATGAGAATAAGTGTCATAAAGCTTTAGTACAATACTATTTACACATATGTCCCTTTTAATAATTTTCTCTCTCTCATTACCTTGAAATTTCATTTTATTAAATGAGCACACAATCATTGGGTTTTTTTCCTTTTGTATTTTGCCAAGAGAATTTGCTTTAAAGTTGTCATTTCTCATTTTTTCTCCCTTATTTTCCCTTTATCCTCCCATGTTGCCAACTTGTTTCCCATTATTTGGTGCTCCCAGATTCTATTTTATCACTCATTATAGAAGTACTTTATTGAAATTGCTAAGCATGTTAGAGGGTACATTCTAAAGAATAGGCTGAGAATTTCTGGATGAGGGACTTAGAAAGGTTTTCTTTTATTTATTGTATCCTAAGACCACAGTCTTAGTGAGGAACTCCATGGAAAAACTTGAGCAGATATCTAAATCTAGTTAACGTTCAGTTGTTTGTAAGTAGGCTATCTAGGTAGGTTTAAATATTCCTTTCTACTTCTCTGTTTTTCTATGCATTTGTCCATCAGTTAGAGGAGTAGGAAAGGAAAAGAGAGAAGAGAGCCTGTTCTAATATTTCTCATTGTTAGTATACTAGCTAGACTAGAATCTTGATTTTTACTTAAAAAACTCTCCAAACTATTTTGTCTAGTTTTTGTAAAACACTTACCTACACACAGTGAACTGGTCAGTGTACCTGAGATCTGGTTTTGTTTTTGTTATTTTCTAGATCTCTCAGCCTCAGTTTGTTCATCTACAAAATATGGATAGTAATATGTCTCTTGCTTAACTCACAAGGGTAGCTATGATGAACAAACGAGAGAATAGATATGAAAGCGCTGTGTAAACTGTAAAGCTCTAAAAATGTAGGGTATTATTTAACTTGTGTTTTTGTTATCACTTTGGGTTGTGGGTTGGCCTAATTCACAGATCTTGTTCTAGGCTTAGTTCTTGGTCTTGGGCTCCCAGTTTTTAATGGAATATTTGACAGGGCTGCTGAGAGGGAGGAGTAGGTAAGTACAGAGCAAAGATATTTCCATTTGTTAATTTTATGCCTGATTTTTTTTATTTCTTAGGATAAGTGGGCAGAACCTCTGGTGTTCCCCTTATTCCCATCTACTGGTCAAAATGTAGATAACTCAAGTACCCTAATTTTGGGGTTTCAACTAAATAGTGTCCAGAGACTTGGGAATAACACACGAGTTCCTGAAGCCTATGCTTGAATTTTAGTTCTGTTTTAATTGGTCTGAGATTGACTAGGGGCCTTGGGGCCTTGCTAATGTTTCAGAACAGTCTGAGACCTGGATCATGATACTGGATCCTGTAAAGCCTGGTGGGCCTTATAACATGACGGCAGAGCAAGTCATCGGGAAGGAGAGATACAGCCAGACAGTATATGATGTCTTATTTGGAGATGTTTGGCTTTGCAGTGGGCAAAGTAACATGGAGATGTCAGTTTCCCAGGTAACTTATAGATGCATATTAATGTCTTATAAGTCCTTGGTATTTGCTTTATTCCCCTTGGGTGAAAAAAAAGCAAACAAACCAGCAAAAAAGTCAAGGCTAGAGAGTGTCACAGGGCAGAGGAAGATTTGGAGACTTAAAATGAGCCTTTTTTCCTCCCCTCTTCTATGTTGGAAGATTTGGTGAGGGCCTAGTAATGGAAATGAGAACACTTAGATTCTGTTTTATTGCTAAACCATTGACTCATCTTTTGATGTTGACACTCAGATGTTGAGATTCAGATGCAAATTAAAGATGGTCTTTGAAACAACTCACTGACGGGCATGTTTTGAAATGTAGAGACTCTTCATATCAAGAGGTCTCATATGCCAGTGGTCACCTGGTCATTTTTTTCCTCAATTTTTCATATCCTGATTTTTCCCTGTCATTTTCTACTGTTTTTCCTCATTTCAGTCTTGACCTTTTGAATTTTGATATTAATTTTGAATTTCTTCTTCATCTCTGTTTTATTCTATAAGACCTAATTACTTGTTAAAGCTACTCTGAAGAAGAGCATGAAAGCAGTCCGAATTTTGGAAGAAAATTCCTAGATTAATCCATAGATATACACAGAGACTCAAAGAGGAAAGAGCGTAAGAGCATGTTGGCATATTAATAATACAGCAAAGCACTCTTAATTTGCTAGTAACAGAGAGTAAGGCCTCTCTAGCCTAGTGGGCCTGAGGGAGCATGTCTTATAGAAAGTAAATACTATTGAAAAAGTTAGCAAGAACATCAAACCTTTTGGTAATAATAATAACAATAGTTAGCACTTAAATAGAGCTTTAAGGTTTGCAAATTGCTTTACAATTCTTATTATAGGAAAGGAATCAGTTCTGGTAGTTCTCAAATTCTAGTGTTCTGTAGTTCTTAGCCCTCAGTTTCCAGCAAAGGAAGCCGATCTAGAACAAAAGGGAGATAGCACCTGTTGGCTAGAGTGACTGTGATTTTGGTATCCAGGTTTGCACCAATCCCTTTTCTTTTAGATAGCCACTTTAAAATTTTAAAGGGAAATTTTATGTAGCTTTATTTTAATGAGGAGTAAGGGTTCCTGCATCACAGCAACTCCTTAGAAGTATTGAAAAACTGTAAACTAAAAAGAGAATATAGACAAAAGGTTACCAAAATATTGTGCATTGTAGATTGTCCTTTAGGCTAAATAGTGCAAACTATATTGTTTGGCACATTTGAAACTGGGTCAGCTGAACCAACCTTTTCAGAGTATGTTTAGAGCTTGGCTTGGTATCAGGAAGTATATTCTGAATAAGACCGTTTGGATTACGTTTGGCACGTTTGAGCACTTGATTGGCACTCATTTATTTTGTAAAGTAGGAAGGAATTAATGTACTTCCTCTTTTGATAATCATCTTCCCCAGCTCCCATCTTCCCACTATGATGTTTTGTTTTGTTTTTGCTGCTTTCTCTACCTCTCTGCCTCTGTTTTGTCTCTTTATTCAGAAAGTCATTGTAAGCCATCATTTTTCTTTTATAAAAATCTTCAAAACTGTATCTTTTCTTTTCAACAAACACTTGTCTTTCCTATTGCAGTCTCTCTAATTCAATTAGCCACTTCTTGTTTGTAATAGTAATGCCACAAAATTATCTTAAGGATTTTAAAATTAATTTCTCTTCAATCTTATCATTAGGTTCCCATATTAAATTCATACTTCTTGACTTCATGAAGTCATAGGCATTTTCTTATCTGATTAATTTCTTTTTATTCTCTATTACTTCCCACTTTACTTTTCTTAGGTTTGGATTCTTTTAAGTAGATATAGGCAAAAATGGCAATTTTATTTAGTGTTAGAAAACATAGTTTTGTACAGAAGTGGAATTACTGCTAACTCATTAAGGAAAATAGTACTTTCCTTAATGCTTTAATTGCAGCTCACTGTACAGAATGGCATAGACTAGTTCTGCTTTTATCTATATAGTCATATTCATAATAGCAGTCTATGCCAAGAGGATCCCATTTTGAGGTACATTAGATTCCCATTAATAAGGGAGAAACAGACATTTTCTGCCTGGATTTTTTTTCTCCGATTCTGCTTTTTAGTTAGGCTGAGTCCGTAGGCTCCACATGACACAGAAATAAGACTTAGCTCAGGGGGTTAATTTGTAACTTTTGTTTAACTTGTTCTCATGCAAAGTGAGCAACATTCTAGGTGATAACAGACCTGAAAACCAGGTTTATAATTTGTTCTGTTTATTCCTAACAATCTCAGGAGCTTTTTTCTTCTTTTGAAGCAGCAGAGAATCGAGAAGATTCTCAGCTCCTCCTTCTACCACACCCCCGGCCAGTCCTATGAGGTAGGATTTCTGCTATTACCTACCACCCTTTACATTCAAATGAAGAAAATGGCAGATTGTAGCTCATCTTGTTGTTAGGGTGAGGTGGAATTTTTATATTTGGTGTTATTTATAACACTGAGTGAGAAATGTATAAATGGAAACATGTTTAAATGTCCATCTGTTGTCTCCTAAGTCAGTGAGGGTCTTAGGAGTTGAATCTTCCCAGTTAAGTTCAGAAAAAAAGATGTCTATTTCCGTTGTTAGTCCTGAAAAATCTCTTTGATAGCTATCTCAGCAATTTCCTCATTTTCATTTTACAGATTTGAGGCCTAGAGGAAAGGGCTGATGATATTATTGTTAAAAAGAGAATCCAGGAACGGTCTAGTTAGATACATTTGAACTTCTCACTAGTGCCACAATAGGAAGTAAAATAATTTATAGATTTTAAGTGTCATTGACCAAACATAAAGCTTCCTCTAACTCATCTCCCTCTCCCACTCTCCCTCCCTCTCCCTCCACTCTCTCTTTGTCTCTGTCTGTCTTTCTCTCTCTCTCACACACACACACACACACACACACACACACATACACACACACACACACACACACTCTCTCTCCCTCTCTCTCTTTCTCACACACTCTCACCCTGAACTCCCCACACAGACCTCATGCCTAGATTCTCCGTGGAAATCGATTCTTGATGTTTCCTCATTAATTCAAGAATGTGGTATAAAGGTTACAAAATGAACACAGGAGAGCAGCTGCTTTGATGGTGAACAGGGTCCCATCCCTAGAGATATACTGGTGCTTTCTTCCTGCAGCAGTGGCATTAATGACTTCAAATACCTTGGTATTCATTTACATCCTCATTTAAATACTTGGTAGAAAAATAATTACACTGAGGTGTTTGATGAGATGAAATCTGATCTTAGCAGATGGAGTAGGCTTCCTCTTTCATCAGCAGGGAAACTAAGTGTCATTTAAATGAAAATCTTTCCGAAATCTCTTTATTCCCAAGTTTGCTGCCAATATCCCTAAGGAAATGCTTCTATCAAATGGGCCTAGTGATGCTGAGATGGGATACCAAATCCTGGAGTGATTGTCATTGTGTATAGTAAGAAATACCTTATCTTTGTTAACACTTTCCTTTCTGTGGATTTTGAAATTTGGCATGAATATAGACACAAAGAGAAGTTTGGAGAAGGAAGCTTTCCAGACTGTGTCTTTGGATCTGGTGCCATGTGCTGGCTGCAATGAAGGAGAACACTAACTTCCCTGACTATGCAGGCTTTGCATACCCCCTTGTGCTGACAAGTGGTTTAAACGACAAGTAACATGCTCTCCTATCTTGCCTCCCCAAGCTGACATCTCATTTCGATGTAGCACCCAAGTTCCCAGTCACTGTGGAAGCTAGTGTGGGTGGTAGAAAAGAGTGGAGAAATGAGAGAGACCTTATTCAGTGTTTCCATGGAAGCAGCATGAGATTCTTAGTGCTTTTAGTAGAGGACTAAATTTTCAGGGAGGTGATTTTCACAGGTACTTGCAGCTGAAAAAAAAAAAAAAACCAGTCTCCCTGCCAGAAGAAGCTTTGAGTGCCTTCTTCATCCTGTTCTTACTATCTAATGTTTATTACCAGGCAAGATCCTGAATAGGCAGATCTGGATTTCTTGTGGGATGCTTTCTCCTTTTCACATGCAGTTGTTGTCAGTGTACCAGTGAGGCCAGATGCAGCTCAGGGACCCTCTTAAAATCCAGGGAGCATCCCTGGGAACAGTTTGGGTAGAGGCTTCTATTGTGGCTTCAGTACCATTTAATTTGTATCTGGCTATTCTGTTGGCTGTGGCAGGCTTGGTGGCAAGTCAGGAGGCAATTCAGAGGGCAACCCATTTTGATGAAATACGCTGTGGGGGTGCCCTGGCTGCTCTATTGTTTCTGATGCTCTGTGGGCAAGGGGGCCAGCTGTACTCTCTCTGTGGTGGGCGGGAGGGAAGGAAGGAGGGCCAGCTGCACCCTCTCGATGGCTAGTATCCAATGGAAAATGTCCCAGTTTTTGGTACACACCAAAACAGCAAACTTACCTCAGCTGGATCCCCTCATCCCTGAGGCGAATGATAAATATGTTTCCTAATACATTTTTTAGTCCTTTGTTTTTGAAGAAGCTGGGAAAATTCTGAAGGTGGGTAGAAGTGGAGAAGTGGGTAGGAGAGACTTAAGAAGAAGCCATGTATATGGGACAATTTTTTTTCCTGAAATTCAAAACAGTTCAGATCTCAGTACAACAAACATTAAGTGCCTGTGATGTTCAGTGCACTGTGTCAAGGTGCAGGAGAACAGCATTTAGATGAGTTCTTAGAGGAAAAATTTCTAATAAGTTTAATGAATAAATTATCTAGGAAAACATTTGCATTTTTATCTAAGATGTCCCTCAGCCATCCATGTCTTGCTACCTTCAATATTGATAATGTTTTATATATTAACTTGTGCAATTACAGCATGCTGTCCTTTCAGGAGAGACCTTTTGCAGCCTTACTTTTTTGGTATTTTGCCCTAAACTCCGCATCCTCTTCACTTCCCAAATTGGCTTTTGCAATTTGGTGAGATAGTAAGAATGTATTTTAGTTACCCACCAGACTAATAAAAGATTCATACCTGTTCATACCTAGATTTTTAATGCTTCCGAGGAGGAGGCGAAGGCCTTTGCCTATCCATTTATCCGCATCCTTACAGTTGCTCTTGTCAAGGCAGAGGAGGAGCTGGAGGACCTTACTTCAATTGATTTGCCATGGTCTCTGCCTACCCCAAGTAAGTAACTTCTGAGAATATCTCTGTCTCTTCTACATTGATTTGATACCTGGAGCAGTATTTTGCTTCTATGATATGGTTTACCCTCATTGATCCCAGTCATGGTCTTCATTCACTGTTCCCCAACGTGGCAGAGGCCTAACACTGAGGAAGAACTAGGAGACTCCCACATACCAAAAACATTATGGTGATAGCTTTTCTTTGTAATCTAAATGAGTATGTTGGACTACATTGGCATTTGAAGCATTGGATTGTGTTCCTTGTACAAATAATCTCATCTAAATTCCAAATCTCTTCTCTATGTGTACTTTAGCTATCTTATCTCTAAAAAGGAGAAATAATTTTTTGGAAATAATTTTTAAAAACAGACCATACTTATTTCCCCAGCTGGTCTCCCTCTTAACTATGTTCTGCTAAAATTAGGGAGGTAGTAGAACTAAATGGAAGTGAATTTGGGTGGCACAGAGGGAAAAAAGAAGTATGGCAGTGGTCAGGAAAGGGGCCTTTGGCTTCTTTGCTTCTCTTCTATTGCAGAGGGGACCTGAATTCTTGAATTTTGATAATCCTATAGGTGATATCAGAAGCTTTAAGAAAATTTATGGCTGCAGTGTTTTAGATCCTTGGATGAGTGATTGTTTTCAAGACTGAATTGAAGAGAAGGGGTAGGAGGGAGGGAGAGAATTTTGACCACAAAACTTTAAAATATGAATGTTAAAATTTTTAGAAAATGTGATTGGGAAATATTTAACAAAATAAATAAAAATATATTAAATAAGACTGAATGAAAAACATTGACATTTAACAGTGTTCTAGATGGAGATTCTTATCTTATCTTCTTTATGAGAACACATATTAGAGATGTTAAATGGAATCAAATATTAATGCTTAATGTTTTCAACTTAGAATCCAGTGAACTGAATTAAAATTTCAGTGGAATTTTAGCTCTAAAAACTCTTAAGATTCTGTGATACATTTTTCTATTTCTTAAAGATTACTCCTTGGGAAAGCTTGAAAGAGGAAATCATGTTACTTGTGAAAAATGAATAAAAACTTATGGGTGATGATTTTTGGAGGCAGGGTGAATGTCTATTACCTGTTCCTCAAACATCTTACCTTTGAACAGTTTTGGAAAGGAGAACTTGAAAGGGTGACTAAACTTTTATCTCATTGTCTCCTCTATATGATTCCTTTACCTCTGATCTAGACTTCTCATAGTTGGTGAGGTTTGTATCTGTCCCCATTTTCTCTGATTGTTTTCCTTTGACTATTTCTCTGGACAGAAAACCTGGGCCATGGGAATTTTACCTATTACTCAGCAGTATGCTGGCTGTTTGGGCGCTATCTGTATGATACTCTGAAGTATCCCATTGGGCTGGTCTCCTCTAGCTGGGGTGGAACACCTATAGAAGCCTGGTCATCTTGGCGGTCACTGCAAGCCTGTGGAGTCCCAAAGGAAGAGAAGCAGTAAGAAATCAGGCTCAAATATAAAATCCTCTGATTGTTGTTGTTGTTGTTGTTGTTGTTTTTTTTTTTTTTTACTTTTTGGTGAGGCAGTAGGGGTTAAGTGACTTGCCCAGGGTCACACAGCTAGTAAGTGTTGAGTGTCTGAGGCCGGATTTGAACTCAGGTCCTCTTGACTCTAGGGCCAGTGCTCTATCCACTGAGCCACCTAGCAGCCCTCTCTGATTGGTTTTTAAAACCATTTTGTAGTCTGGCTCCTTCCTGCCCTTCCAGTCTTCTTATACTGGACTCCACTCTGAGATCCAGTTACACTTGTCTTTTTGTTATACCTCGAACAGAATACTATATCTCCTTGCTCAATCCCCATGCGTAGAATGCTTTTTTTCCTCACCTTTGCTTCCTAGCTTTTTTTTCAAGACTTAAATCCTACCTTCTACAAGAGCCCTTAACCTTCTCCTCCCTCAGCTAGTGTTTTCCCTCTGAAATTACCTTCCATTTACATCATATATGTATGTAGTTGTTTGCATGTTGTCTTCCATATTAAAATATGAGACTTCTATGGCAGGGATGGTGTTTTTGCCTTTCTTTGTATCCCTAGAGCTTAGCACAGTGCCTAGCACGTGTAAGCACTTAATAAATACGTGTTGACTTGGCTTGAAAGCATCCAGAAAACTGACTCTTCTTGGGTTCCCACAAGACGATTGAAATATCTGGGAGAGAATATGCCCTATAGTCACATAGGGAAGAAGATCATAGTTTTCCTTAGGAAGTCAGTCAACAAGGCTCTATATGCATGTGTAAGGTAATTTTGTTGTTTATTAGACACTTGGGATGTTTATTAAGAACAGACACGGCCTTTGCTGTTACTGAGCTTACTGTTGGGGAAGTCAACAGAAATATGTATAAATATAAAAGTACACTGAGGGGATGGTAGTTCAGACATTGTGTTGATAGGTATTGGAAATGGATCAGAAGATTTGGGAAGACTGGAAGCGAGATAGACCTTGGATAGCTTAAATGAAGGAAAAGATGCTGAATGATTAGTAGGGTTTGGGGAGATTATTTAGTATATTCAAAACATTTTGTTCAAAGGCTCGGATGTGAGAGAATGAAGGTTGTTAGCTTGGCTGGAACAGAAAGTTTGGGTTGCGGTATGGTAGGAGTATTAGATTGGGAAATAGAGGCTTACAAATACTCTAGCAACTTCTGCCTATGTCTGTGGTGAACCAGAGCAAGATGTCATGTTAACTAGAGATCTCAGTTCTTCAAATTTTATGATGATTATAATTGCTCCCACACCACTAGTTACATGATATGGTCTAATATTTTAAAAACTTTTTAGGTTTCTAAGAAAAATATTTTTCCACATAGGATAGAGATTTTTCATTTTCCTTTTACATGAAATTGTGGCTCAATTTTCCTTTGTACTAAAAGTCCCTTGGACAGCTAATACTTTTTTTTAAATAGGAAATAGCACCTAAATGAAAATTGGAGAGGTTTTCATCTAAGCAATGACTGGTGATCCCATTGTATCTCATTTATTGCAGGATTACTTTCCCCAGTCTATATGCTGGCCCCACTGATCACTCCATACTTTGGAATTCAATGATCCATCCACTACTCAATATGACATTAAAAGGAGTGGTATGGTACCAAGGTAAGTATCTAGGCTACTGTTAATTCTCAACTTTACCCTTACAGGATTGTCCCTTATTCTTTACATTTATTATTGTTTTCAGGAGAGAATAATGCAAACTATAACACTGATCTGTACAACTGCACCTTTCCTGCTCTCATTGAAGACTGGCGCCAGGCTTTCCACAATGGTTCTCAAGGGCAGACACAGCGACTTTTCCCTTTTGGGTTTGTGCAAGTATGTGGTAAGAAGGAAAGAAAAGGAGTTTATAGTGATACCTATGTGGTGATGCATTATATTGATCTGTTTCTTAGAGCTCAGTAGACCATATTTCCTTTGTCTTTGTGATCAGTTGGTAAAGGAAGCAAGGATCAAGGTTTATTTTTCCCCAATTCCCACATGGGGAAATTGAGTTATAGATTTAGAATTGGGAGTGATCTTACAGCTCATATAGTACAACCTTCCAACTATTATGAGACTTTCCTCTGCAACATCCTAGACAAATGTCTATCCATGTCTATGCTTGAACACTTTCAGTGGCAAAGAAATTTTCCATTTCATTTTTGGAGAAGGGAATGGTTTTATCCAAGTTTTATGTTCTTTCCTTTTCTGACTGTTCTTCTGTATTCTAGAATTATAGGTAATAGAGGTAGGGAGAGACCTGTGATTTTATTGATATAAGGAACACCTGGAGAAGGAAATCCTACCAACGCAGGTTGGCAGCTTCTCTGCAACTTTTGGTCTTAAAAAAGTTGCCTAGAGCACTGACAGGTTAAATGACTTGTCCAGGACCACATAGCCAGTATGTATCAGGAACAGAACTTGAACCAAATCTTTTGTTTTCAATTAGCAAGTATTTATTTTCTTTCCCTCTCACCCCTCACCCACATGGGGCGCGGGAGGGTGGAACAAACAAAGTCCTTGTAACAAATATGGCCAGATTGGCCATATCCAGAAATGTATATCTTTGTTTCTTGTATCTATCACCTCTCTGTCTGGAGGTGGGTAGCATGAAACTGAAGTCATTAAGAAAAAGGGGTCACTGGAATCATGGTTGGTCATTGCATTGATCAAAGTTCTTTTTTTATATTTTCAAAAATTTTTTTTAATTTAGGATTTTATTTTTCCCCAGTTACATGTAAGATCAAAGTTCTTAAGTCTTTCAGAGTTGTTTGTCTTTACACTGTTGTTCTTGTGTAAATTGTTTTCCTGGTTCTGCTCACTACAGTCTGTATCTGTTGCATGCAGGTTTTCTTGGTTCTAAGGCTATGCCATGATACTATTAGAAGAATTATATTCCCTTTGTCTAGTGTCTTTCCTCCTATAAGCTAAAAGTACCTTTACATTTATGATAATAATTGCCCTCATAGGATTTTTTTAAATTAAAAAGATGATTCTTGAAAGGCATATAAATGGGGATTCTTAAAATGATGAAATTTATTCATTTACTTTCTTTTCCCTCCTTTTGCTGCTGCTTCTGGTGGTGGTAGTAGTGGTATGTGTGTGTACAGGCATGCACATTCATCACTTTTCTATCTAAAGGTAGGTACATATTTCATCATAATTTCTCTGGAATTGTGGTTTGTCACTGTGTTGATGAGAGTTTCTAAGTCTTTCAAAGTTGTTTGTCCTGTAGTATTGCTGTTATATGAATTCTTTTCCTGGTTTTGCTTACTTCATTCTCCGTCAGTTCCTCTGAAAACATCCCCTTCATTTCTTAAAGTTGAAAAGTGTTGAGTCATTTTTCAGTCATGTCCAACTCTTCATGGCTCCATTTGGGGTTTTCTTGGCAAGGATACTGAAGTGGTTTGTCATTTCCTTCTCCAGCTCATTTTACAGATGAGGATCTGAGGCAAACAGGGTTAAGTGATTTGCCCAGGGTCACACATCCTGTAAGTGTCTGAGACTGGATGTGAACTTGTGAAGAGGAGTCTTTCTGACTCCAGACCTGACACTCTGTCCACTGTGCCACTTAGCTGCCATTTCTTACAGTCTAGTATTATTCTATCACATTCAATATACTGTCACGTAGTCAAGCAACTAAGTTGTGCAATGTAGAGCACTAAGCCTGAACTCAGGAAGACCTAAGTTCAAATCTGACTGTAGACACTTATTGGCTGTATGATCCTAAGAAAGTCACTTAACTTCTGTCTGCCTCACTTTTCCCAGCTGTAAAATGGGGACAATAATAGCACTTACCTCCCAAGATTGTTATGAGGATCAAATGAAATAGTATTTGTAAAGCTCTTAGCATAGTATCCGGCACATAGTAGGCACTTAATAAATGCTTGTTCACTTCATTTCATTTCCCCAATTGATGGGCACCCCTTCAGCTTCCATTTCTTTACCACTACAAAAAGAGCTGCTATAAATATTTTGTACAGTTTCCTCTTTTTTTAATCACTTTGGTATACAGACCTAGTAGTAGTGTCACTGTGTCAGAAGGTAATTTAATGGCTTTTTGGACATGGTTCCAAATTGCTTTCCAAAATTGTGAGCTGTGACTAGTTCATAGCTCCACAAACAGTGCACTAATGTACCTGTTTTCCCACAGCCTCTTCGACTTTTGTTATTTTCCTTTTTTGTCAACTTTGCCAGTCTGATGGATGTGAGATGACACCTCAGAGTTGATTTAATTTGTATTTCTCTAATTAGTGATTTAGAGCATTTTATTTTTCATCTGGCTATTGATAGTTTGAATTTCTTCTTCCAAATACTGCCTGCTCATATCCTTTTGACTATTTATCGAAATTGGGGAATGACTCTTATTTCTTTTAAATTGGAATCAGTTCCCTATTCATCTTAGAAATAAGGCAGATAGGGGAAGCTAGGTGGCGCAGTGGATAGAGCACCGGCCCTGAAGTCAGGAGGACCTGAGTTCAAATCCGGCCTCAGACCAAACACTTGACACTTACTAGCTGTGTGACCCTGGGCAAGTCACTTAACCCCAATTGCCTTAAAAAAAAAAAAAAGGCAGATAAACTTGCTGAAACCCCCCCCCCCATTTTCCCATTTTCTAATTTTAGCTGCATTTGTTTTGTGTACAAACTTTTTAGTTTTCAATAACAAAAATTGTGCATTTTACTTCTGTGACCTTCTCTATTGTTTGGTCATGAGCTCTTCCCTTTTCCATAAATCTGAGAGGGAATCACTTCCATGCTACTATAATTTATAATGTTACTCTTTATGTCTAAGTCATGTACCTGTTTGAAACTTGTCTTGGTACACCGTTAAATGTCAGTCTGTATCTAGTTTCTGTTAGATTGCTCTCTAGTTTTCTCAACAGTTTTTGTTGAACATTTTGGATCTCTGGATTTATCAAACACTACATTATTGAGCTCATTTGCTTCTGGGTATTGTATACCTAATCTATTCCAACTGATCAACCTCTTTACTTCTTACCTGGTACCAAATTATTTTGATGGTTATGGCTTTGTAGTATTGTTTGAGATCTGATACTG